ACTTCGAAGTTTGATGCAAAAACGCATGATCGCACCGGCTCGCCTGGTGCGTTCCAGCCTGGGTCTTAAATTGAAGGCATTGCAAAAAAAATCCCGCTTTGCGGAACAAGTGTGTGTGTTTGTGCAACTTGTTTGTTTGACCGCTCTGTGCTTGTCATACTATCTAAACAAATCCTTAGCGAGAACGTGGAGGAGCGACAGCGGGTTGGAGGGGGAGGAGGGAGGGAGAAATGAGTATCAGACACAGGATATTTAGCAAGTCTGCATTTCTAGGTTGGTTTGGATTTAGCACATCTACGTGCTAAACGTAAAGACCACCGGTTTTCGCTAAGTACTTCGCTGAAGTGCGCCGAGCAATGTGCAGAAGCAATCGAGGACTTACATCGCGTTGGGTTCCTTCATCGTGACATTAAACCCAGCAATTTCGCTGTAGGATGTGTTGAAAGTGGCGAGTATCACATTATCAAACTGCTTGATTTTGGTTTAGCTCGCAAATATGGGTGAGTTCACTACGGTTATTTTTTAGGGTTGTCTATGTTTCAAACACCCTTCTGTCTAAACAGTACCCAAGACGAAACTGAGTCTCCATTATCTCGAATTCGTAGAGCGGATGTGTTACCCGCTGCACTACCACGTTCAGAGCATTTTTCTGGACTCTTTGCAGCTACTCTTTCTCAGGTAGTATACGCCTTCCAATCCAGTGGTTTCTTTTTGGGTTTGTCGACTTGTGACGCGTTTTTGCAAAAGCGTGGAAAAAGGCAGGTACCTTTTTTCAAAACGGTTGCATTAGGCGTTCGTCTTTCTAACCCTTGATGTGAATGAGATGCCGTAACATTATCTATTGCATTCGTACCAATATTCATTACTTTTAACTTCTTTTTAAATCATAGTGTAAGTTGATAAGAAAAGTGTTTGCCAATGTCCAGCAGAGAATTGCTGAAAGTAATGAGTCTGCTGGCAAAACATTTAGTAAACAGGCAGCAGGGTAGCCAGTCCTATCATGCATGTTGTGCACTCCTGCACAGCGGGTAGTTGCTGATAGGAATATTCGCTACCTTCCAGTTCGAAATACAAATTTCTGCATGTCCATTCGTGAAAGGTAGGCGCTCATGAGAGATAGATTTGAACTTGAAGGCTTGCACATGAACTAAAAACGTTCTCCAACAATTTTGGCGTTCTGTTTTGTTTAGTTCCCCAGCTAAAAATTCTTCGTTTAAAATTTCATGTGTACATGAAAGCTGAATTTGAAGTTCAGGACTCTTATTTAAGGGGACGCATCATACTAAATTTCGGCTTTCCATCGTGCCAGTTCCCGAGACAGAAAATTTCGCCACGAAACTCTCGTTTTTCAAGAGACTTTAGGCATAAGTGAAGGCTGGATTTAAATTTTGGGAACGCAAATGAGCTTGGAATATTACCTTAAATTTTCAACTTCCTAGCTTTTGCAGTTCTCGAACTGAAAACCCCGGACAAAACGCTCCCAAGCATACACACGCATACACAGTACGTATGCAAACACGCACATCCACTCGACAGTGCATTCACAGTAGTATCCGCAAGCACGTTTTTCAAAGAGGATGCACAGTAGAGCACAATGCAAGGAAGCGACAAACTAATTTATCCCATAAGACTTGTCTGCCGAACTATTACAGCCACTTTTATACAGAGGTTCTGTTTCTAAATTAGGATTTTTCTTAATCTCACCTCTTTCTATTCTTTTGTTTCCGCATCATACCCTTCGTTGGCAGCTTTCGAAATAATAAAAGGAGAAAGGAACGGAGGCTGCCGTTTAGTCTGTAATGCGTTTTTGCTTATATGCAAATGCAAAAATGCATATTGTGACGACCCCGGTGTGTGTGTGTGTGTGTCCGGATATTTCAACTCGGCACCCAAGCAAGCTCCGGTACCAAAATTTTGCTAATGGGTTCCCCGGCCAAGTGCCACCCCAGGACCGCGGTACCAACCCTCACGCAAGTCTGGGCCTCGCGTACGAGGAGGTGAAAGCCTTGGCGAGAAAATCGCTAACTCGGGGACCAGAAAAGCTAGAAAGCTGAAATTTTGTGGATATATCCCTTTCCACAGAGAACTCAGAGATTTCAAATTCAGCTCCCAGGTTTGCGTAGTCCCCGCATACAGCCCCGTGAGGGTTCCAGGCACGAAAATCGCTAATTCAGGTACCAAGAAGGCTGGAGGGCTGAAATTTTCAGGGAATGTTCAGCACAAGTGTTTGTGTAGTACTTAGGCCCGCTCAGGCCCTCAGTTTGTGTAGTACTTAAGTATGGCCTCGTAAAAATTTTTAGCGGGAATACAGCCAACTTGGGAACCAGGAAAGCTGGAGAGCTGAAATTTTCAGGAAATGCTCTTAGCACATGTACTGCTTAAATTTATCAAATTCAGCTTCCGAGCATGCGTGGTTCTCACGCACGACCCCGTGAAAATTTTTCGCGGGAAAACGGCTAACTCGGGAACTAGAAAAGCTGGGAGGCTGAAATTTACAGGAAGTATGCCCAGCACATAGACAACAAGAATTTATCAGATTCAGCCTCCAGGCATGCGTGATTCTCATGTACTGCCCCGTAAAATTTTTTGACGAAAAAATGGCTAGCTCGGGAATCTAGAAAGCTAGGAGTCTGAAATTTTTCAAGGATTGTTCCCAGTACATGTTCAACTTAAACTTATCGAATTCAGCCCCTCAGTGTGCGTGGTTCTCATGTAAGGCCCTATGGAAGTTCTTGATGGAAAAATGGTTAATTCGGAAGCCGGAAAAGCAGAGAGGCTGAAATTTTCAGGAATGTTCCCTGTCCAAGTACAGCATAGACAATTAACTTTCTGAAATTCGAGGATCAGTGTGTCACACATTTCTAACTACTAGGTTTCCGAGCAATCTCATTACAGCACGAAACGCTGCAAAAAGAGCGCGCCCGGTGCGCATCGCCAAAGATTTTTTTTTACATTTTTGCCGTGGAGCGCTAGAGCGCTGTAACAGGCAGCAAAAACGCATAACTGCAACGACTCTGTCAGTGTGTGTGTGTGTGTATGTGTGTTTGTGTGCGTGTCTGTATCTGTTCGTCTGTCCGGGTATTTCAACTCGTCAACCACGCAAAATTTGAAGCTTAAATTTTGCAGTGTGTTCCCCGGTCAAGTACCACCCCAGGATTATGGCATCAGTCCTTACGCACATCTTGACCCTGTATACGATCAAGTGGAAATTTTGAGGGGAAAATTGCTAGCTGGGGAACGAGATAAGCTAGAAAGCTGAAACTTTAGGGGAATTTCCTCTACTTATGTAAGACCAAAATCAGCCGTTTAGAAGAGCTGGAGGCCCACACGTAAAAGTTGTGGCAGGAAAATTGCTCACTTGGGAACGAGAAAAGCCAGAGAGCTGAAAATTTAGGCAATGTTCTCTACTCATGTGCGACCAAAAGATTTCAAATTCAGATGCTTAGAACCGTCTGGAACTGACGTATGGACATGTGAAAATTTTGGTGAGAAAACTGATAACTTGGGGATGAGAAAAGTAGTAAGACTTTAATTTAAGGGAATGTTCCCTACTCATGTGCGACTAAAAGATTTCAAATTTAACTCTTCTTGTGGGGCCTTTTCCGCGGACCAGATACTTTTTATTTGTAGGGTCACTGAAGCCAACGTCTATAACTGACATGCCACATAGCTGCACAATTAATTTTTCGAATTTCGAGAGCCAGTATGTCACAGGGCTAGCTATCGTAATTCCTTGCAATCTTACGACAGCGCGAAAGGTGCGAAACGCATGATCGCACCGGCCTGTCTGGTGCATTCCAGTTTGGGTTTATACCGATTCCTATCTGCGCTCTAACCGATCTTCGGCGCGAAATTCATCCAGCGCTTAAACATGGTAATGAAGAGTTAACAAACCTGGAACTTTAAGAGCTAAAATCGCTGCAAAAAGTAGTACGAATAGTTGGGGATCAACTTTCAAACCCTATATTATTTTTAACCATCGCTTTCAGAATAACCGCAATTTTCCAGCAAGGCAGGCCATGTGTTATTTTTTCCCATTGTATTAGGAGCGGTAAATTCATTATTTTTTGCAGTCATGGTAAGAAAGATATTCGGTTGCCACGGATGTCGGCACCATTCCGCGGTACCACCCGTTATGCCGCACTTGCACCATTGCGAGGGATTGAGCAATCAAGAAAAGACGACTTGGAATCGTGGTTTTATATGATTGTCGAGTGGACGCGTGGTAGCCTGCCATGGGGTGATTTGGTAAGTGAGAAAAGGCTGCTAACCTAAAATTTCAACTTCTGCTTTCTTTTTATACATTTTTACTGTTCAGAACTGTAGCACTACTACAGTGAGCAAAAGCGCATATTGCTGGAAAGTCATCCGTACGTGCGCGTATGTGTATGTTCGGAAGCGAGTGAGCTTTGTCACCCACTTTCAACTTAGCGACCGGAAAAGCTGGAAGGCTGAAATTTAGGGGGTAGGGCGGTATTTCTACCCCAACTATCATCTTCACATTTTAAAACCATCGCTCAAATGTGTTTAAATCTTGTGTGTAATCCACCAAAAAAGTATGCGTATTTCTTTAGCAGGATACAATTTCATGAACTAAACAAAAGGAATATTCTCTGTGCATGTATGAGTTAAAAATTTCAAATTCAGCTGTTGGACATGCGCATGCCTCGCGTATGGTTACGCCAGTGTTCGCAGTTGGTATTGTGCCAGTTCAAAAACCAGCCAGAAAACAGCAGCTGGATTACTCAGAATGTTTACTCCCCATATCGAAAATCGTGCACCTAAACTGAATTTTAATTTGCACTTCATTGCGTCTTTAGGGCACTTCAAAGATATTTGTAGCGAAGTGGTTATTTCGCTTATCGGACAAACTGCAAAGCTGAAACGTTGCAAAGATATTCTATATTCACGTATGGCCTTAGTTCAGCTTGGAGGTGAAATTCCCTACACGCAGACATGAAAAATACTCGATTTTACTGCAGACTCAAAATCGAGTGCATTTGGTGGATTTCGTAATCCTTTTCCGACTTGCTTCAAATTTGCATTTTTACGATGAACAACCCCTCACCGGAAAGACTGGGCC